ATGTGTAGTATGAGCGTTAAGTTATATAATCTTAGCATATCTGTGTAATGGTATACACCAACCAATTTCAATTGCTACGAAATGGATTTGTATTGTTTCAGGTACACTTAGAACTTGTGTTTTTTTTGTATTCCTATATATTTTTTTGTAAAATGTTCAGATATAATGGTCATTCTAGCACAACTATCATTTTAGGACAACTACTGTGCACTTTCCTACAAAACTTGTTTTTTCTGGAAATAAATATCTTATCGTATCTTATCTTATCTTATTACAAAAGTATAGTGTGCCATGGACAGTTGACGTCATTTGAACGGAAGTCAATTTGACACTCCTGTCATCATGAATTAATTGATTTGTTTATTGTGTAACTGCATTTGGAAGTTTTGATTGGAAATACGTCCAGAATATGTGGAGGCGTATGATATCATTGGAATTAAAACAGGATAATATCATTGTTACTTGTTTCATAATAGTGATTAGGACGCTGATTACTAAATATATCGACGCCAAAGGATGCATGCTGGAGCCAATTTATTTTACCTCCCATGGGAGTAGATATCTTGTTTCTCCCGTGGGAGTGAATTGACTTTGTTTGTTCTTGCATGAGGGAGCAAACGTCTCCTTTTCATCATTCAGTGAGTAGATAAACATGATTATTGTGGTCAATAACTCAACACGAATGAGGTAAAAACTTGCAAATCATCATAATCGTGAAAAACTATGGAGGAGCACCGAAATTGATTTTGTTAAATATCTCGAAAACCAAGAAAATTGTATGAAAACACTGTGGGAGGAAATGAGTGAGATGATTGATTTTGTCTTTCATCGGAATGGGATATCGAGAGCTAGTCAGTGCCGTACCTACTGAAAAAAAAAATTAATGTTATTCAAAGAGACTGCGAAATTCCCAACTAACTGTATATTGATTGAATTGGTACGACATGTTTTCCATGCACATTCACTATAGTAAATTGCCATACGAATTTCAGAGCAGTACCTTCCAAGGACTTCGAATTATCAAAGAAAATCTGGAAATAAAATTGTTGTCAATGGTGCATTTTCGGCCTATTTTGGTCTCTAGTTCGCCCTGTAGAATTTATGGTACGTTATTCTGGGACACCTTGTATGTTATTCCGATTCTTCACAGTTGCTCTTCCGTATAACCTATCTTACGGTCGAAGCTGATTACTAATCAAGGATAGAACGTAGGTACTTAAAACAGAGCTAATTAGCGTACAACGACCGGTTCGTTAAACCTCCCCCACCCTTTCTTGGCGGTTAGGGGCGCCCGTAAATATTGAGTTAAGGTAAGCCGAAGTGGCAGCGAGCGCGAACTACATTAAACTCAATGAATCTTTCATGGGCTCTATATCTACCCCTGTGAATTTCTCCTGCCCGAATACAGAATACGACGCCGTGTACCTATTTCCTGTTTTAGGTAATTTTCACATTTTCGCGGAGAAGCTCGCTTTCTTCAGGTGTATTGGATGATTCTGTTCTTTATTCATGTGCACTGAGAATGATTTATATTTCAAATCTGTTGTAGTTTCATCAGAATATCAATGATGAACTTCAAATGAACGTTGGTAGAAATGGTTATTTATTATACAAGGGGAAAAAGTAGTAGATTTTTGCTCCAGGTTGTGTTGTCTCCCGACGCGTAGCGGAGGGAGACCAAAAACGGTGAGCTAAAATCTAATATTTTTCCCGTGTATAATACACTATTTTTTTCTGTGACAGAAGGAACGACGAATCAATATTGAGAAGATATCACATTATTCTGAAATCTGAAAATTATCGACGTGAAATTTCAAGTTTTTAACAGTAGGGACACCTACGTTGAAGGCATCTTTATCATCCTTTTAAAGTAATCAAATATCTGATGTCACTTATGTCAGTCTAATTCTGTGATTTGATTTCAAAAAATTGCGAATAGAATGGAAGATAAAAGGACTTGCAGTTCTTTCTCGGGACGGTATTATTGACTCATTTTTCGGAACTCTAGCACAACAAAAGCAATCAACAGTGTATATATATGTGATATATATCCGGGAAAAAAGTAATTTATAAAAAGTGACATTTTATAACCTGCCAACAGAGATGGAATGCCAAACTTTTTTCCCGTCACAGAAAAAATTATATATTTTTGAAGTGAGTGTCAAAATTACATTTTCATGAAAATATAATATACTCTCGAGATCACCATATTCCAATCGATATGGTAGTTATAACATTATTAATATTGAAAAAAAAAATCATTTTTCCAAACATTCTGAAATCTTGCATACATTGCAGGTGTTTTACTCTACTCAATCCTTTGGTGAGAACATCTGCAATCATCTCTTCAGTTGCAAGATATTTGACTTCGACATTTCCTTCCTTAATCTGTTCTAGGATGTAATGGTATTTAACTTCCACATGTTTCATTCTATTATGGAAAACTGGATTTTCTGCAGATCTCTTAGCACTTTGATTGTCTCTATATATCAATATTCCATTCTTCACATAAAGAATTTCAGATGAAAGATTCTGAAGATTAACTGCTTCTCTAGTTGCTTCAGCTTCACACGATGATGAGGTGACACATTTCTGCTTACTGCTTCCCCATGAAATTGGCCGATCTGCAAACTTGAAAATATATCCTGTATAGGAATGTCTGTCAACAGGGTCGTTCGCGAAATCTGCAAATCCCTCTATATTTTCTCCAGTTGGTTTGTATGTTATACAAACATCTTGAGTACCTTTGGGATACCGAAGAACTCTTTTTGCCATATTCCAATGGATATCTGTATGTTCCACATTGAACTGGGATAAATAGCTTGTTATGAAGAGAATATCTGGCCTTGTAATAACTAATATGTACATAAATGTTCCTCAAGTCTGCTGGAGTTGATATTGGTTTGGAATCTACCAGTCCAAATTTCTTCAGAGCAATTTCTCCAGTTTCATTGTTTCTTCTTATAGTTATACCTTAACTATGACTTCTTCAAGATCTGATATCTTGAATCTCCGACACAATTCTTTCATCAAATTTTCTTCCTCATCTTTGGCATTCGAGGATATGAAGAAATCATCTACATACAGGGTTATAATCATAATTTTGTCCTGAATGTCCTTATAATAAACGCAAGCTTCGTGATTGGACCTATTATATCCTAATTACCCAAAAACATTATTAACAGTTTTATTCCAAGCACGAGACGCCTGTTTGAGTCCATAGATGGATTTTTTCAAGCAACACCTTCCTCTTCATTTTGAAACGTTTCGGCTGATCCATATAGATGGTTTCTTTGAGTTTTCCATTGAGAAAAGCTGTTTCAACGTCTATATGTTCTACAGAGAGGTTCAATTCTGCTGCCAAAGCAAAATAATAATCTAATGTTCGATCCTCTTACCACTGGTGAGGAAGTTTGTTCAAAATCCATGCCGTAAACTTGTCTGAAACCCTCAGCCACCAGACGTGCTTCGTATTTGATAATGTTCCCTGCTGCATCTCTCTTTAATTTGAAAACCCATTTACATGGAATCACCTTCTCACTTGAATCATAATCAACCAACTGCCAAGTTTCATTCTTTTGAAGAGATTGGAATTCTTTGTTCATAGCGAATATTCATTCATCTTTGTCATCTCTCAAGAGTATTTGGCTCTTCATTCAGCATACACTCAGCCTAATGAATGAAGTGACTATTGGTTGATGCACGTTCCTTTTCTGGATATAAACGTGCTTCAATTTCATCCTCTGGAGTGTTGTCATCTTCAACATTCTCAAACTTAATAATTCTACTGGATGTTGCTTCTTCCCAGCCAACCATCGTGTGACATCAACATCTGTGTGATGTAACAACCTTGCATAAATGCAATATCTAGTTAACACATCTTATCGATATAGATTCGATATCAACGTCGCAAGGTGACATCGCAACCAGGAAACTATGTAATGTGGCAGTGACTTCTTCAAACTACATCTCTTCGAAGCTAACTTAATAATTCACATAGATATCCTCATGAGATATCTTTGTGACCTGTGAGTGTGACGCAGACATGCGCAAAACGAACGCACACGCCAGACGCCATGTTGAGCTGTGCATGGCCATGTCAGTCAGTCAGTCAGTCAGTCAGTCAGTCAGTCAGTCAGTCAATGAGTGAGTCCGACTCCGTACAGACTATTTCCTTTCAAATTCTCTGTTGAAATATCTGAGATGATTTATACCACATATTATAGCAGCTTCAAATTGGAGGTATACAAGCATTTAGGAACGACGGTGAGTTCAATCACAATAGGTAATATTGTAATTATCTCTGAGATAGGAATATTGCAATCTAAAACAGGGTGGATGAAAGATCCCAACATAATGTAAGTGTATTTGATATGTATCATTTATGTATGTATGTATATTTGTATTGCTATGTATTTGTGTCATGTTTTACTTCAAAATAACTTATTAGGGTGATTGGCATGATGAGTTTTGTATCATCTGTTTTTACTTTCGGAAAATCTACATTTTCTTCGTAAAGTTGAATAATAATTATTATTATATATCTCACGAATATCACAGGTACGGCGACTACATCATCGCTGTCGCAGTGTGATGTATTTGTAATATGAAATGTACACTTGTATGTGACCTGGTAGTGATTTTTCATGTGATGTCGCATTTCATGTCTGAACGACGTCACAGTGATGTTGCTTGAGTCGGACATTTTCACATCGCCACGTTGTATCGGTAACATGTTTGTGATTTCAAATGCGATATCGCATGCCACAAAGTGATGTGGCGTATACATCACTTATACATCTCATGGTTGGCTGGGTTATGATCGATTAGATTGGCGTTATTTCTTAAATAGGTGGTACTTCAGTTGAAAGTTTCCCTTTCTATTCATTGATTCTATGAAGGATGATATTGAACGTTGTGGAGACGACTTGGAGTAATTCGGAGACATCGAGCATCATTCTTTTCTTCCTATGAAATGGAAAACTAAGTTGGAATTCAAGTCGGCACCAGCCACCGCGCGTCTCTGTACAACGTTTCCCTCTTTCCCCCAAACACCACCCCATGTTCCCACCCCGTCGAGGCAGCGCGTGGTGGCGGTTCAACGGGGATGCTGCCGGAGCCGCCTTCTCAGTCTGACGATACGATGCAGGCCCGAAACAGGGAACGAGTCGCTCCTATTTTCGATTTCGGCGGCTCTATCCTCTATATACTCTCTCACTAACTGAACTTCCTTTATTTTTCCTGCTATCCACTCTCTTAACGCACGTGTTCGATCTTTGCTCCTTTGTACCTACTCGTGAACAAATATTTTCGTGGTGACTCTCTTCTGTCTGTATCTATAGATATCGGTGTTACGTAATCTTTTTGTATGTATGTACTCTCTCTCTCTCTAATTGGTGTGGATACAAGTGCACTTTTTGAAAATTTGTAAACAAGCAACGAGTGTGATCTAAATCATTGTTTCTAAATCACGACTGACTCATTCAATGTTAAAATGATTGTGATAAAAAGTAGAAAAGGGATGAACATAACAAGTATCTGTTGAAGGTTTGCTGTGTTGCTATACGATTGTTATTTTCAATATACAGGGTGTAACTAAATAAGTGTAAAACATTTGAGGGGGTAATTCCTCATCGAAAAAGAGATAGGATCTTTCATATGAAGAAACTTCATTGGAGCATCCCATCCCCCAGCTCCTTGAAGGGGGTACATAAAATTTGTTTAACAATTTTTTTTTCAGAAATTAAGAACAGAACAACAATGCACAATTATTAGTATTACTTCAAGTTCAAAAATTGACAAACTGACAGCTTGATACCGATTTAATTGTCACTATCGCAAATAGCGGCCAACTGAATTAGTTTCGTATTTTCGTTTTATGGCGATATGTATGTTGTTCGTAAAATGATTTTTGCTGCGAACTGGTTAATTTTTTTCGAAAAATTCAAGGAACATTTTTTATTTAGCATGAAATGGGCTATCGAAAATAAATTTTTAAATGGTAAACAAATAACATGACAAAAAGTTACATTGGAAATAAAATCTAGGGGTTGCGTTTTCAACCCCTTATAACTATGGGGTGAACCAAATAAATTACTGGCTAATTGTCTTTTTGGTAGTAGAAAATGTCAGATCAATTTCATTACTGTAACTTTTTTAGTGCTTGTGAAAAAAATTGGTAAACAAATTTCATGGACCCCCTTCAAGGGGCTGTATCTGAATATGGGATGCTTCAATGAAGTTTCTTTATATGAAAGATCTTATCTTTTTTTCGATGAGGAATCACCCCCTCAAATGTTTTACACTTATTTAGTTACACCCTGTATAAATACACATTTTTTGACATTCAACCTCAAAGAGGTGTATTCTTAAACACTTTCTGAATGAGGATACGAAGTATTTCTCAATTGAATAGCGCACTTAATTGGAAATTTTGTTATAGATAAGGTCTGTTTTATTTTTTTGATGAGGCTAGACTGCTTCTCCAACAATTCACATCTATGAAAAGCGTTGAATATCAAATATATCAAGGCACTTTATAGTGGAAATATTTCAAAATATGCTATACAATTTCTGATGTGTATACAAGGTTGTATTCTTGAGAAAGCAGTTGGATGTAACCGATCAGTTGAATTTCCACTTCTCTATCTTCTTCTATCTATATCTACAGCTACCGGTGTTACGTAATCTCTTTGTGTGTACTCTCTCTTATTGGCGTGGACACGAGTGCACTTCTTCAGAATTATAAACAATCGATCTCAATAATCGTTTCTAAAATACGACTGACTTTTTCGACGTTAAAATTATTATGATGAAGAGTAGAGAAAGGATGAACGTAATAAATATCTGTTGAAGGTTTGCTGTGTTGATATACGATATATTTTTCTTTTCCATAATATAGCTACAAATGTATTGGCATTAATCTTCAAAGAGGAATATGTGGATATATTTTTCCGATCAAAATAAGAACTATTTCCCAGTTAAAAAGCACGCTTGATTGAGAAGTTGGTTCTTAGATACTGTTCCATTTTATTGATAAGGCTAAACTGCTTCGACTTTTTCAACAGTTCCTATTCATAGAATGCGTTAAATATTGAAGATATCAAGGCACTCATGGTGAGACTATATCAAAATATGGTATGAAATTTATGATGTGTACACATGGTTATAGAAAGGTATAAAGATATATGTATTATAAAGATAAAACTATACCTATTTCGAATTGAACTAAATTGAATGAGGGTTGATTGATTTTCATATCGAGATGTTCAATTCATGACACACAAATATTCAAAAAAACATTATATCATTATTCTGAATATAGCATCACCAGAACTAGTTTTAGACAAAAGTTCGTACATTCGATGAGACTTTCAGTTTATGTAGTTAGATGATCTAAGAGTACCTATTCTTAAATAATCATTAAGAATTGTTTCAATATTACCAAACCCATATGCCAATAAATTCTATCAGTATTATCATTCACGAATTTATATTTGATGCGAATCAGCTTACGAAAGATTTCGAAAGAGGTGATAAACAACCTGCATGCATTTGAATAAACACTATCGCTTTCAAACATAGTAGATTAGAATGTGAAAATTTGTATTGAGAATCAACCTTCAAATTAATTCCATATCATCACCAACTTTTTGAGCATTTTTATTTTGTTCAATGACAACCGAAATTTATCCATTTCTATAGTCACAGATCAGAATCGTATCACCCTATATAGTCACGAAGCCACATACTTGTAGCATTTCATGAGGACGAAGAATTATTATTGAAATACAGAACAAGGCGATAGGAGACAAGATTCTTTCCGTTAATAAAATACCTAATAAATCACAAAGGATAAAAGTATTACACAGACACACGCAGGATGTTGGTAATTATTTTTGGAAATTAGCTCTCTTCCTCACTTTTCATCATACGAATTCCGTGCTATTCTTTTTCTCTCCTCCTTTATATCAATATTCTTTTATATTTCGAATTCATTTCACTAATATACACCGCTATTATTTTTTTTATTTTTGAAGCTGATTGCTATATGGACCATTATATCCTTTGGTATTGAAAAAACGAATTGTTAAAAATAAAATCAGCATGACACATCAGTTTTTCTTTGGCAGAGGACATTGTTTGACGTTACACTCTCCAACCGACTTCTTTCCAGAGCATCTTCCTGTATACAGAGAGTCCTTAAAAGTTCTTTACAAGAATAACTTCATATTTCTTATACCAGAACAAGTAAAGTTACCTCAGTACTAAGTTGGTTAGTTTGGGCGCTAAAAGGCTCAAAAGTTAACATTTTCTAATTATTTTTACTTCATAACTTTGAAACGGCTCATGATATTCCACTTGAACTTGCTACAGGGTGTTTTGGAAGTTGATTGCTAGATGGATCATTATATCCTTTGGTATTGATAACACGTTTGTTTGACGTTACACTCTCCAACCGACTACTTTCCAGAGCATCTTTCACTATACAGAGTGTCCTTGAAAGTTCTTTACAAAAATTACTTTATATTTCTTATACCAGAACAAGTCAAGTTACCTCACTACTACTACTACTTTGATTCGTTTGGGCGCTAAAAGGCTCAGAAGTTAACATTTTCTAATTGTCTTTGCTCCATAACTTCGAAACGGCTCATGATATTCCACTTGAATTTACTACAGGATGTCCCACTCAAATGTGTCACTCCCCATTATCCTCGTAATTTTCAAAATATCTTCGTTATTCAAAACATTTTCTGGAATATTTTTTCACAATTCTTTCGAAACTGTGCTTACTTTTTCTCCACATCAACGGATTACAGAGAGTTTTTCCGCCAAATAAAATAATCCTCATCCATTTCATAAATAGATGAAGATCATCAATCTGAAATCGAAAATATATTTATATCATTCACTTGTACATTCATATATCATTATCGAATGAAAAGATCATTTCATTTGACTTTTTTTCATTCACCCACCCTGTATTTAGACAAAGTTCGTGAGAAATTATTCCAGAAATCTGTTTGAATGGCTAAAATATGATGAGAATTACGAGGATGAAGAGAGGTGAAACATCTAAGTGAGGCACCCTGTACGTATGCAAAGCTATATTGGTAAATAGAAACGATATACCATAATCATGATGAATATCATTCCATGGGCGTAGATTTTAATTTTCTCAGTAAATTGAAATCTAAAACTTCTACGCAAATGAAAAAAAAGGGGTTTGAATATGAAAGTTGGATTGTAAACACTTGATAAAATCCTATTACTCTCATGGGTTCAACAAAATATGAATTTCAGTAAATCAGAGCATCAATCAATTCTTTTTCATTTTCCCGTACCTATACAAAAATGTATTCGATGATAAAAATGACAAGAAACGTCTTGCGTCCAGACTGAGCAACTTTGTACTGAGCTGAGTTTGCTTGTATCAATTTATATTCGTCGTTTAGCTCTTTGTTCACGTGAAAATAATGAAGGAGTCAATAAAACACATTTCGAACATCCTTGTGAATAGATACATTATTGATAATTTATTTTGTATATTCACTCAGATTAGATTTTATGAAGATCATTTAGTAGTCATCATAGTCTCAAGTGAAACACTTGGTGTTCGATTCCTTCCGTCATTTCATCATGAAATAATATAAAGCGAAAACAGGTCAAAATTAAATGACACTCCAAAATTCGAAGTGAGAGAGTGGGGCTCACTGTTTCATTATACCAGAGCATCCGTACAATAACATTTATCCGGCCAAAAACAAACTGTGATGGCGGTGTTGAAAACACCGCAGACACGATAGAAACTTTTAAAATGATCAAATTTATCTCGTTTCTGTTCGCTGACGAGCGAAATCGTTCTCGTTGTCCATGAAGAAGAGCATTTTACGTTTCCATTTCCATAAGGAAATGCCATGGAAATATGCCTCTTCTTCGAATATTCGCTTCATTGTGTATATATCTCTTTATTTTCCATCGTCGTTTATTTCGTCCAGAATAACAAGACACAAATAAAACGTAAGGCGGTATTCAACAGAGTTGTTCTTCCATACCAATACGAGGTGATTTTTCATGCTCTCTTTTTGAATATTCAACAGATATTATTCGATGTTCGACGTGGCAAATAGCCAGGAAAGTAGTTGTTTTCTGTTGAATATTCAGAATGATATCATATGCATATCTTTATATGAAGGAGAATGCAAATTCTCTACTTCGGAA